ATGGGGCCTGAACTCTGGGCCTGGGTGCTGTCCCTCAGCTCTTCAGCTCAAGGCTAGCACTCTACCACTTGAGCCACAGCGCCACTTCCGGCTTTTTTCTTTTTGCTTATGTGTTGCTGAGGAATCGAACCCAGGGCCTTGAGCATGCAAGGCAAGCGCTCTACCACTGAGCCACCTTCCCAGCCCTTGAATAGGTTTTCAATACCTTTAGTTTTTATTTCTTCCCCCTCATTGATCCCGACTATGTGTAAATTTGATCTTTTGTCTGAGTCTGCCAGTTCTTGGCTTCCGCTTTGGTGTGTTCCAAGTGTGTTCTTTTTTTTTTTTTTTTTGCCTTTCTTTGATTTTTTTGTTCTAATTCTTCTGTTTTATCCTCAACTACTGATACTGTTTTCCATTTCACTTATTCTGTTGCTTTGGCATTCAACTGTGGTTTGAAATAGGGAAATTGAAACTTTTATGCTTCCAAGTGCTTTGTTGAGGTCAGTTCTCATGGTGTTAGTTTTGTCACTTAAAGAGGTGTGTAGTGTTTCCGTTTTTCTCTCTATGTCTTTTTGGGTGAGTTGTATGTCCTTTGTCATTTCCTCCTTCCACTCCTCTGTTTGTTTTTGGGTAACTCCTTTTATTCTCGCAGGGTTTCTTTGATGGTTCTTTGGTTTTCCTCTCTTCTCCCTCGCTCTCACTGAGATCTTTCCCTGGATTATTGTTGGCTTTTGGACTTGGTTTGTTGTCTTGCTTGTTTGTGAATCTTATCTTTCATTGTGATTTACACGTTTGGGTCCGGGGATTGTGGAGGCCGTCCTGGCTGTGCTGAGGGGTGGTGGTGGAGTGTGAGTCACTGGATGATCTCTGTCAGTTTTGCATTTGGCAATCTTCAGCTCTAGGGGTGTTGATAGTGTAATGTGTCCTGGTCAGTGGTTGGGGCTCTGTGCTCTGCAGGGTGTCCTGGCGTTCTGGCCTAGGTTTACGCCTGCTAGTAGGTTCCTGTTATGTGGCACACAGCAGTTGAGTGTCTGGGGTAGGTCGGCAGATTCCTGCTAGTCACGGGGGGGGGGGGGGGGAGGTGCTCATCCTGGCCTGAGTCTTGCCATGGCGTCTGTTCCCAGAGGGGCTGGGAGCTGTGCTCCAGGTCCTGACCTTGTCTGGGTGTGGGGGAGGGCCAGGTTCCCACTCTGCCCTAATGGGAGGCCGTCCCCTCCCAGCCCTGGGTTGGGACAGGCGTGGGGCTCGGAGGGGGCGGGGTCCTGCAGGGCAGCGGGAGATTGCCCCAGCCGTCCCCCAGGCTGGCCCCTTGGTCCAGGCGGCCTGGGGCTGCAGGCGCAGCACTGGGGTGGAGGGAGTGCTTCGCAGCTTTCCATCCCGTGTGTGCTGGGGATACGATGCTCTTTGTTCTTTTTGGTGGTCAGTTTCTGCTTTTCTTGTTGTCAGTCTTGGGGAGAAGTGTATGTTAGAGCCCCAAGTCTCTGATTAGAGAGCTAGAGCGATTCGAGTGACGGCCTCACTGCCATCTTGATTAGAACTTTGGTGTTTTGTTTTGGGGTTTGTTTGTTGTCAGTCCTGGGGCTTGAACTTGGGGCTTGGGTGTCCTGAGCTGCTTTTGCTCAAGTCTAGTGCTCTGCGACTTGAGCCATGGCTCCACTTGTAGCTTTTTTGATAATTTATTGGAGATAAGAACCTCACAGACGTTCCTGCCCGGCTGGCTTCCATCCTCAGATCTCAGCTCCTCATGTCACACGGTGTCCACACCCAGCTCCGCTTGTCTTTGGAATGAAAACAGCAGCAAGTTTGGGGGACCCCTGCGTCGTGTGACTTGCCCCCAGACAGCGGGAGTGAGTGCATCCCGCAGCTGTTCTGTGTGTGGGCACAGCACACAGGTGCACCCGCCTTTCCATGACCGGCACTGTCCATTGATCCATCGAGGTCATAAACACCACCGAGGAACGAGATGGGGCTTTGTTTCTCCAGTGACCCACCTGCCGTTCAACAGTGTAGAGTTCATACTCCATGTGGTTGAATGTTTTCTGCAGTATATTTTGTTGTTGAGATCTAGTTTGTTTCCATTGTGATCAGATAGGATATTAGGAATTATCCTAATCCTTTTGTATTTACTCAGGCTTGTTGAATGTCCACAGACATGATCTATTTTGGACAAGGTTCTGTGGGATCCCAAGGAGAATGAGAATTGTGTGGCTGTTGGATGAAATACTCCATAGATGTGTATTCAGTCCATTTGGTTCATGGTATTCATTCATTCAAAGGCTTCTTTGCTGATCCTTTGTTGACCTGTTCGTGGGTGAGAGCAGGGCTAATTTAGAGCATCCCACTATTGTGTTAAGATCTATCCAATTCTGCAAGTCTAAGTCTAAGAGTGTCTGTCCGGCATGTTCAGGTGCTCCATTGTTTGGTGTATATATATTTCAGGCAACAGTTTGGCAATTTCTGCTTTCTTGCAGGATACATTTGTTAAAAAGATTTATTTCTATCACTTCACCCAGAATTTGTGTCTGTCTTTGTGACACACATTTCTTGGAGACAACACATGGTTGGATCTTTTTTTGTTTTTTGGGTTTTGTGGGGGGGGGGTTGTTTGTTTGTTTTTTGCAAGTTCTAGGGCTTTAACTCAGGCCCTGGGTGCTGTCTCTGAGCTTAAGACTACCACTTGAGCCACAGTACCACTTCTAGTTTTTTCTGAGTTTTTCTAGTTTTTTTCTAGTTTTTCAGACTTTCCTGCCCGGGCTGGCTTCAAACTGTGATCCTCAGATCTCAGCTGCCTGAGTAGCTGGGATGACAGGCGTGAGCCACCGGCGCCCGGTGAGCTGTTGGCTTCTGAGAGTGGCTGTTGCCGTGGTCGTTTGGGAATTTCGGGGTCTCTCGCTGTGATTTATGCGTTGCCCCCTGGTGTTAGGACTCCTGCTCCACTTCATGGCGTTGCTTTGTCTCTGGGAATGGCGGCCCCTGTGGGCATCAGCCGACACTCACCGGGTCCATAGCAACCTCATAGAGAAACTGTCTCTTAGAATCATCCTCATCTTGAGTCGTATTCGGGCCCCTCTGGGCACCTTCCGGAGATGCCCGCACGGTGGTCTGTCTTGGAACTTCCTGCGTCTGTGGCTAGGGTTCCCACTGGCTGCACCATGGTGACACCGTCGGTGAGAGACATCACCAGGCGCTCATCCCGGAGGCACCACGCCTAATCCTTTGTCTTTTACACGTTGTATTCATCTTCCAAAAGTAAGATGTTCAACAGCGTTTGTGCATCTGTAAATAACCCAGTCGTATTCTGAGGACCTCGCCATAGGTAGTGACTGTGTTGTTCCAGTTTGACAAGTCTGAAGCTGAAAAGGGACTGTGGCTGGACACGGCCAGCAGCTTGTCCTGGGTACTCATCCCTTGGAGATGGCCCCAGTAGGAGCAGCCCCCTGGCCAAATCATGCCCTGTTGGGTCTTCGAAGGCCAGACCATTCCTGTCTTCAGCATGACTGGCAGGGCCCGGTTAGCTTGCTTATGTCTGCTGCTCATTCCCGTGTGCCAGAAGCCTCCGGAGCAGCCTGAGGATTCATTACACTTAAATTAAGTCCTCTTCAAACTTCTCTTCTGAGGCATGGACACCCGTGCTTACCACAGCCCTTGGCTCTTGTTGTACCTTGAACCACTTGCCGGCACACAGTGACTTCCACCCATTGGCCTGCTTTCTGCAGAATGACTCCAAACGCAAGACTGGATGACAGTGTCAGTCCCGCTTCAGGCCATCGCTCTTCATTCCCCAAAGCATATTCCTGCCAGGCTGTGTTGCAATAAACGCCCATCCTTTTGTTTGTTATAAACTTAAAGCTACAAGTGGCCCACCCTGCCAAGAAGTGTCCCGAAGGAATAGTTCCTCATATCACACAGCCAGGCCCAGGGCCCAGGCTCCCGCCCAAAGCCCAGGTCTTTCCTTCACTGTGTGGCCTGTCCCCAGTGCACAGCCAGTCCTGCTGACCATGTCCCCTGCCTGTCCCCAGTGCACAGCCAGTCCTGCTGACCGTGTCCCCTGCCTGTCCCCAGCACACGGTGGGTCCTGCTGACCATGTCCCCTGCCTGTCCCCAGCGCACAGCCAGTCCTGCTGACCGTGTCCCCTGCCTGTCCCCAGCACACAGCCAGTCCTGCTGACCATGTCCCCTGCCTGTCCCCAGTGCACAGCCAGTCCTGCTGACCGTGTCCCCTGCCTGTCCCCAGCACAGGGTGGGTCCTGCTGACCGTGTCCCCTGCCTGTCCCCAGCACACAGCCAGTCCTGCTGACCGTGTCCCCTGCCTGTCCCCAGCACAGGGCGGGTCCTGCTGACCGTGTCCCCTGCCTGTCCCCAGCACAGGGCGGGTCCTGCTGACCGTGTCCCCTGCCTGTCCCCAGCACACAGCCAGTCCTGCTGACCGTGTCCCCTGCCTGTCCCCAGCACAGGGCGGGTCCTGCTGACCGTGTCCCCTGCCTGTCCCCAGCACAGGGCGGGTCCTGCTGACCGTGTCCCCTGCCTGTCCCCAGCACAGGGCGGGTCCTGCTGACCATGTCCCCTGCCTGTCCCCAGCACAGGGCGGGTCCTGCTGACCATGTCCCCTGCCTGTCCCCAGCACAGGGCGGGTCCTGCTGACCGTGTCCCCTGCCTGTCCCCAGCACAGGGCGGGTCCTGCTGACCGTGTCCCCTGCATGACCGTGTCCTGCTTGCCCTGACCCCAGTAGGGAGTGAATCTACTGGCCTTCCTGAGGAGCAATCCTTGAGTCTGCGAGCAAGGACCAACCCAGCTATGGACTGACTCCCTATGAAACTCCTGTTTCCTGTGAGTAAACAGCTAATGCACAACTTCTAATTAAAATGCATAACGAGCAAACCATTAGGAAAAGTCGTGGCACTTCTCTGTGGACACCGGCTGTTCCTGGAATTCCACCAGCTTCCCGGATGGGCCGGACCTGCCCGGGCCTGCCTCCCGCCTTCGTCTTCCTCTTCTGGTCTTCCTCTGGGCTGGGCAGGCTTGGGAGCTGGTGGCAACAGACACGCTGGAGAGCCGGCTGGAGGGGAGGTGAGTGGAGGGGTGTGAGGGGGGGGGTGCGCCCCGGGCGAGGGGCCTGGGGAGGGGATTCTGGGCACGGCCTCCGGCTGAGCAGCACAGGCTCCTCACTCCGGCTCCTCCCGCCGCACAGCCAGGCCCAGAGCACGAGCAGGGTCAGGGCCACCACAGGCACTAGAAAGCTGGGCACACGGGAGTCGGGTGAGGGGCTGCCTTCGGAGGTCCGGTGTCCCCTGAGGCCTGGGCCTCGCTCTCCAGGGGCCCAGGCAGCGGGATGAGCAGGATGAGGGGTCGGTCCCACCCTTCCTGGCCGCAGACCCCAGGGTGGGGCACAGAGCTGATCTGAGCCTGTGTCACACAGTTCCTGCACACAGGCCTGGGTTCACACACACACACACACACACACACACACACACGGCCCTGTGGGCAGACGGCTGCGTCCCCTCACACGGGCACTAGCCCTCGCTCTGGTCCACCCTGAATCCTACACACCCGCACCACAGCACTAGGGACAAGAATGGGGTCCAGGCTGCCCGTGCCGGGCCGGTGCCCCCGAGCTCTGGGGCAGGGCCGGCTCCCCCAGCTGTGCTGGGCACTAGGAGTGTTTCCAGCAAGGCTGGGCCTCCTGGGAGGGGAGGATGGCAGGCAGGGCCCTCCCCTGCACAGGACACAGGTGGCCTTGGGCGTGGCAGGGCCTGGTCCCTGGAGACCCCCGGCATGGAAGCCATGGGCACCGAGGTTGCTGGGGACATTTTGTGTCCTAGAAGAAGTGCCGTGGTAGGGGCAGTGTCACGAAATCAGGACGGGGAGATAAGATCTTAGCTAGAAAATCTCAGCCTCAGGAGCGTTGCCGCACCTCACCAGAGCTGGCCATTTACGCAAGCTCCCAGCAATGGGTGAACTATTTCTGCTGATGCTGGAGATAGTCAGGGGCCGAGCGAGAAGCCACGGCTCGGCAACGTTGCCCGGGTGGGTCCTGGCAGGGTTGAGCAGCCCATCAGAAATTCCTGCTTCTCAGAGTAGAGCAGAATGAGCGGATGTTCTGGCTGGAAAGCAGATGCATGGAAAGGAAGAGGAGCCCAGAGAAGAGCCTCCCCGGCAGGTGTGAGCTCCCAGGGCAAAGCCGCTCACTCCAGCTGGATGTGGGGAGGGGATGGCCGAGGCAGGGCCGGGGTCGGGCCGGGCCCGGGTGGAGGCGGAGGCCCTGGGAAGCATGCACGCGTCCGGGCGTGAGTCCTCCTTCAGGAAGAAGGTGGAGGTGGGCCCTGCCACGGGCTACCTACAAATGGTCATCACAAAGATTGGATTCTCCAGAGCCCAGGACGTCTCGGACACATTTTAAAAGAAATTAAGCCAAAATCTTAGAACTTTGAAGGAAAGACACACCAAGAGAATCGATTGCAGTATTTCCACCCTCCCACCCCGCAGAAGAGGAGAGTGAGGATTCACCACAGAACAGATAGGCCGGCGGGAGGGCCGAGCATTTGCTTCCTTAAAACACAGCTTCCTCAAACCAGAAAGGACAAGACAGACAGACAGACAGTGCCATGAGAATGGCGGCCTGCGTCTGGGACGTGCGTGACGGCAGGCGTGAGGAGGAAAGTAGCTCCCACAGCCACCAGCTGCCCGGGGGCTGAAGGCGGCGTGTCAGTGTCCCGGGGAACAGGGACACGTGCCCACGGCCGTGGGGACACGTGACCACAGGACACGGGGACACGTGACCACAGCACATGGGGACATGTGACCACAGCACACGGGGACACATGACCACAGCACATGGGGACACGTGCCCACGGCCGTGGGGACACGTGACCACAGGACACGGGGACACGTGACCACAGCACACGGGGACACGTGACCACAGACCACAGGGACACATGACGACAGACCACAGGGACACATGACCACAGGACACGGGGACACGTGAGCACAGACCACAGGGACATGTGACCACAGACCACAGGGACACATGACCACAGGACATGGGGACACGTGACCACAGGACACAGGGACACGTGACCACAGGACACGGGGACACGTGACCACAGCACACGGGGACACGTGACCACAGGACACGGGGACACGGGGACATGTGACCACAGCACACGGGGACACGTGACCACAGCACACGGGGACACGTGACCACAGGACACAGGACACAGGGACATGTGACGACAGACCACAGGTACGTGTGACCACACCACAGGGACACATGACCACAGGACACGGGGACATGTGACCACAGGACACGGGGACACGTGACCACAGGACATGGGGACACGTGACCACAGGACACAGGGACACATGACCACAGGACACAGGGACACGTGACCACAGGACACAGGGACACATGACCACAGACTACAGGACACAGGGACACATGACCACAGACTACAGGACATAGGGACAAGTGACCACAGATCACAAAACATGGGGATACATGACCACAGACCACAGGGACATGTGACCATAGGCCACAGGGACACATGACCACAGGACACAGGAACACGTGACCACAGGACACAGGGACATGTGACCACAAACCACAGGACACAATGACTCATGGCCACAGGACACGGGGACATGTGACCACAGGACACGGGGACACGTGACCACAGGACACGGGGACACATGACCACAGGACACGGGGACATGTGATCACCAGACCACAGGTACGTGTGACCACACCACAGGGACACATGACCACAGGACACGGGGACACGTGACCACAGGACACGGGGACACGTGACCACAGGACACGGGGACACAGGGACACATGACCACAGACCGCAGAGACACAGGGACACATGACCACAGGACACGGGGACACGTGACCACAGACCACAGGGACAATCCTCTGTCACATGACGCTGCTCCCCAGGCAGCAGCTGGGCGCAGCTTTGCCTACGTCAGTGTGGAGCTTCAGGACAAGCCCACGGCCCGGCCCCGAAGCCCCAGCTCTCTTGCTGCCGTGAGATGGGCTCTCTGGCTTCCTCCTGGTCTCCATCACTGTTCTGTGCTGCTTGAGACGCGGCCTGGCCAAGCAGCCTGGTCCGTCTTCCTGCCTCCTGTACACACGGCAGGGGAGCCGGGGCACGGTGCCCCGCGCTGGCTGTGATGTCAGTACCCGTCTGGTCCGGAGCCGCCCTCCAGGCCAGCCTGGGAGGTGGAGTCTGCCGGACCTTGTCGCGTGAGCTGGCTTCCGACCGTGACCTTGAGCTGGCTTCCAACCGTGACCTCATGCCCTCAGCCTCCTGCGTAGCTGGCTCGATGGCGTGAGCCAGTGCCCGGCGGCCCCACACCACCGACCGGCGCCATATTGGGGGACAGGGTGGAGAGTGGGGAGCCCGAGGCCCAGGCCCCGGGCCGTGATGGGCCGTGAAAAGGTCAGCCGAGGCTGCCTGACCCTCGACCGACAGGAGGCGTCCCTGCAGGCAGCGTCCCTGAGCGGACATCGAGGGCCTGGTGGCCCGAGCCCCATCACGATGACCAGCTGCCCGGCGGTCCCTGGCTGCTGTTCCCGGGTGCTCGGGGTGCTCCTGCTGCTGGCCGCCTCACTGAACACTCAGAGCGGAAGTAAGTTTGGGGTCCCTCCCTGGGCGCTGTGGGGGGACCAGGGCAGACCGGCCTGGGCCCTGTCGGGGAGTAGTGGATATCGGCAGCTGCGTGCCCTGGGGACGGCAGAGAGAGCCGTGGAGAGCGCCATGAGGACCCCAGCACATCGGTGGGCCGCGGAGACGCGTGTCTGCGGGCTGGGGGTCGGGCTCTGTTGGGAGCCTTTGCTCTGCACGGGCCGGGGCCATCCAGCGGCCGCAGCATCCCCACAGCCCAGAGCCGGCCGGGCCGGGCCAGGCAGACCGGGCTCTGGGGTGAACAGCGGATACCGGCACGGCCCGCCTCCCGCCCATCTGTGTGATGTGGAGCCCACAGCGGCCCCAGGAGGCCCTGACACACGGGACCCCCCCAGGTCGGGATGACCCCGTGTGCACCGAGGGCGTGGTCTCCGTGGCCAGGGGTCAGCGCGCGGTGATGACCTGCAACCTCTCCAACCCAATCACCCACATCACCATCCAGCTGAGCACCCATGGGGTGAACAGGACCGTCTTCAGTGAGGACACCCCTGGGCACTTCTCCCGGGGCGAGTGGCAGCTCCAGGTCCAGGGGGGCCAGGCCCAGCTGGTGGTCAGGGCCGCCCAGGACAACCACGCCGGGCTGTACCTGTGGCATTTGTATGGACACCAGAGAAACAGCAGAGTCATCATACTACATGTTACAGGTGAGGTGGACGCCAGGGAGGGGCTGGAGAGGGAGGCCGGGGAGGGAGGCCGGGGAGGGGCTGGAGAGGG